TTGTGTCTTTCAATCAAGTGTTTCGTTGCAGTAAACAACCAAAGCTTGCATGTAAAACCAGTAAAACAACGCAGATCGAATGGCCTGGCTAAGGTTGCTCATGCAGCTCCTTGGAACATCTCTATGTGGACGGTCTCTTTCATTTGCAAGGTTTTGTAAATCTGATCGTACTGAGGCTGGCAGGTCGAAAAAGCATATCGAACTCCCCTTCTTGAAGTTGATACCTTCAAAATCCATGAAAGGAGTGAACTGTTGTGAACAGCCAAACAGCTATGAATCTATGAATCACACCACATACAGGTTGTCATTACTTCCCGCTGTGCCGCCGACTCTTCAAACACCGCCATCTTCTCGGGTCTGGGATGCAGTCATGTGGAGCTACGTGTGGAATTCTGCCATGGTGTTTGCGCTTCAGTTGTAAGAGCGGGTGCGTATTTCCCAAGCAAATCCAATGTGTACGTACAGCGCGAGCCTCGGCGCAGCTTGTCAAGGCTTGACGTTTGCAAGAGTCTGGGTCGAGGCCCGGCGCTTTACCCGCCATCTGCATTCGCTGCGTTGAATGTCTTCGTAAAGGATTTAGTCCGCGGTAAAAGTGTGGAAGTAAGCTAGTTTCTCGTTCTCTATGATATTACCTGGTTAAGCCATGAGAGGCGCCTTCCCCGCTCCAAAGCGCGGGTAGTCCTCTGTCTCGATTGGGTTCGAAAGGATCGACAAAGATGTGCACTTATGAGTCTGCAAATGTCTGGTTTCGGCGACCAATGTCACGGCAGGCGCCGGGAATGGACACCGGAAAGGAGCTCGAGCGTCACAAGCACTGATTAACGGACGAGAGTGCGCGGGGGGAAGGCCATGGGGCCACGCACAGAGATGGGTGGCGGATCGGCCTAATACAGGCGCGGCGTTCCGCGCGCTGCTGACATTCCGAGGATGGTCAGGTGCACACAGGGATGTCCCACATAATATTTGTCATAATTCAAACAGGGTTCAAGCATGAGAGCTCTATTTGAGACCGTAGTGTCAGATCTGTTGCCATGAAGTGTTCGAGCGCTGATAATGTCCCGCCCTAAAGCAAGAGCTCTAACACTCATAGTACTACTTGGCTCCTCCTTTTGATTCAACCACTTCAACCACTCTATAATACTGATTCCGAGGTTTCCAACGTCTGCTTTGAATGTTTGCTACTCATGACTCAAAGTCTATGCCTACGTACATCGCCAGGAACGTACTCCAACCGTGCGGAATCCTTGCGATGACGGGAGCGAACAGCCCTTCTCAGATCAGAAATATAGCCTACCGAATCCAGGGTCTACTCTGACGGTACATTTTTTAGCGCTCGTTTGATAGGTTCCCGCTTCTTGAAAGCATTGCCTCGCTCAGCATCCAGATCAAGTATGTACGTCACAAACTCACCTTCGTAACCTGTTCTCCATTTTACATCCAGTCCCGACAGTTGAAGTATAGTATGTTCATGTTACAAGCTGTAGTTGTCGATACTTGTCGCCGCTGCCACCCGTACCTGTGAAATACATGCAACACTCATTACGGCGGTCTTCAGATACGACCACCACTACGAAGGACGAGCTGGAAACTTGACCCAAAAAGATGCACTTCCCCTCTCTTTGGGCAGTTCGAGGCGATAGAGACGTACGAGGGAAGGAAGGAGACTTTAGCATAGCTCATCGGTCTTTGAATCATATCCTCATAGCTCAAGCGCAGGCCCGAATCGTCTTCTTTACAGGTTGCTCAATACACTCGTGGAGTCAGACGCGATAAACGCCATGAGTCAAGCTCTTCAAAAGACTTAAATCGGCTCAGCAATAGCCCACCGGACGGCAACTGAATGCAACAGCTCGTTCGTTGAAGCGGAGATGCGCAACCAGTTTCCCAAGGGTTCCCGCCAGAGCTAGACAAGCGAACTGCAAGTTTACCTGTCATCACGCTTTCCAGACGGGTCCATTTCCGCCCGAGGCTGACGGTCCTCTTTCCGCGCCCTTCGGCGGCTTCCCGACCCCCTTCCCGCCGCCTTGCGTGCCGCCCGGGCCCTTCTTGTCCTCAGCTGCCGCTTCGGTTCCCGCCGTTTTCTTCACCGGCCCCGGCTTGCCTCTCCCGGCCACACTTCCCGCCTCCGCAGCTTCCTTTCCCGAGACAGGTCTCGTACCCCCGACCGACGCCCCGCCCTCGGTAGCTTTAGCCGTGCTTCTGAACCGCCCGATACCACTCCCCCGGGCCCCCTCCGCACCTTTCTTGGTCACACCAACCATCAGCCTTCCCACCGTGCCCGCCCTAGCCGCAGACGGCTTCACCAGCCCGGACTTGTTTTCGCCGGCTGACGCACCCCCTGCTGGAATGGGCATTTCGCGGGCCCCCTCTTGCTTCCCGCCGCGGGTCACCCCCCCCACTGCAGCGTTCCTGGAGGCCCCTCTCACCGGCTGTTCGCTGGGCGGGTTGGGCTGGACGTTAAGCGCTGACTGCGGGAAATCATCTAGCGTATCGACGTACAGCGGCTTGCGGGGCCGGTGGGCGGTCTCGATGTGGGGAGAGCTCGGCCGGGCGTCCCAAGGATCTTCGCAGAGCTCTTGCGTGATTCCGACTCGTCTTTGGGGGGGAGCTCCGTATACATACTGGCATCAATATCGGCCATCTCACGGTCCCAGGCCGAGTCACGCCGTCCGTCTTCGCTGTTCAACTCTGCGTACGAGGGACCATGTGTCCACTCCATGTCTGCCAGGTCCTCGTTGCACAGGCCGCTCTGCCCGGTGAAACTCCCCGACTGCCCCGTCCTTCTGCTCCCCTCAGCCGGCTTGGCTTCAGCCGGGGTCTCTTCGACGAGCTCTTCATGCACCGCGGTGTCAAGTCCCGGCTGTTCAGCCGCTCCGATGGCATTCGGCTCCGCCGCTCCGTCGTCCGCACTTTTTGCCGCCCGGTCTAGTTTGCACTTTTCGTGCGCCGTGTCACTGGTCACTTTGCTCCCTTTTCCCATGGTGCCAGCCCCAGGTTTGCTGCTGCCGTTAGCGCCCAAGAAGCGGCTCGAGACCTCTGCTTCTGGACCCAGTACGCTTTCGCCCGTGCCGTTCACCAGCTCGTCGGTCTCAAGCGCTTCCGCCAGGGGCGAGACGCCCTGCAGAATGTGCGCGATCTCCTTGGCATCAGCTTCTCCCGTGTCCTCAGGAACCGCAGGGATCCCCTCCTCGGCCGAATTCCCGGCTGCTCCAATCGAAACGCCGCGATCATCTGCTTCAACTTCCTCAACCCCACCACTCTCCTGAAACCCCGCGTTATACCAAACCCAACCCTTGTCTGCAACCCTCTCGCTCTTCGCTTCTCTCTTCGCCTCCTCGGAGCTGTCATCGCCGCTTCCGTTCTTCTTGCTGCTGCTTCCCCGAGCACTCCTCTCTAGGCGCAGGCCTACTAGAACCCCCCTCTCGCTGCCCGCCGCGTGCAAGCTCAGCACTGGCTTTCCCTGCGGCGGCACGCGTCCTGCCAGCGCCCGCACGCTTTTGCCCGTCTCCATTGCGTGCCTCGCCGACCAGAGAATGCTGCGGCGCTTGCACCGTCCCGTCACACTTCTTCCCGGCAACCGCCTCGTTTTCCCAAAGGTTTCTCTTTCCGGACACCTCTCCGTCTCCGTTTCCGTCACAAGGAGGGGGAAGGTTTCCGGCGGTGAAGGTTTTGCTCAGGAAGGGGCCCACTCGACTCTGCTTCCATTCTTGGCCGGCCAGCAACTTCTCGCAAATCTCCTTCGCCTTCGTCACAACCTGAGACCACGTTGCCGGCGAACCAAGGATGTCGTC